GCTATTGATTTTTGAGTATTGATTCTGTATCCAGCTACATTACTGAATTTATTTATTATATCTAGGAGTCTTTCAATGGAGTTTTGGGGATCTTGTATATAGAGTATCATGTCATCTGCAAATAATGATAGCTTAACTTCTTCTTTTCCTATCTTCATGCCTTTTATTTCTCTCTCTTGTCTAATTGCTCTGGCTAGTATTTTCAGAACTATATTAAATAGGAGCGGTGGTAAGGGACATCCTTGTCTTGTACCTGATTTTAAAGTAAACGCCTTCAATTTTTGGCCATTTAGTATGATATTGGCTGTTGGTTTGTCATAGACAACCCTTATTATATTGAGATAAAGACCATCTATCCAATTTTCTGCAAGGTTCTTATCATAAATGAATGTTGGACCTTATCAAAAGCTTTTCCTGCATCTATAGAAGTGATCATGTAATTCTTACTTTTGGCTCTATTGATATGGTGTATTACATTTATTGATTTACATATATGAATTTCCTTTTGAGTTAAATGCATTTCTTGCAAGTCAGGAGCTTATGCCACTGAGATAAATCCCCAGCCCCCGTTAAATGCATTTCTTGAACAGAGAATATTTTTGGGTTTTGTTTCTAATCCACTCTGCAAGTCTGTTTCTTTTTATTGGTGAGTTGAGACCCTTTATATTGATGGATATAATTGATATGTACTGACATCTCTGTCATGTTATCTTCCTATTGTTGGTTTTCTAATTTGCCTGTTTAATTGTTTGCCTTCATTAGTACTTTCCTTCTACTGTTATTCTTGGGATTGTAGTTATCTTTGTGTCTTTCTAAGGTGTCTTTCAGTACTGTTTACAGTGTTGGTTTCGTAGTTATGAATTTCTTCAGTTGTTCTTTGTCATGGAAGTATCCCATTTCTCCATCAATTTTCAACGATAGCTTTGCAGGCAATCTGGGTTGAAAGTTGTTTTCTTTCAAAATCTGAAACACTTCACTCCAAGCTCTTCATGTCTTCAAGGTTTGTGTTGAGAAGTCTGTCATGATTCTCATAGCCTTTCCTTCATAGTGATCTGTTTATTTTCTCTGACATTTTTATTATTCTGTTCTTGTGCTGAATTTCTGATAGCTTAGTTATTATATGTCTGGATTAAGATTTATTTTGGTTATGGCTAATTGGGGTTCTGAATGCATCACTTATCTCTATAGCAGATTCTTTCCCTTTATTTGGAAAGTTTTCTGTTATTATTTCTGTAAATAGTCTTCATATGTCATTTGTGTTAACCCTTGCTTTTTCATTGACACCTATCAGTTTTATGTTGTTTCTCTTTGCATCATCTTGCAGCTATTGAATTATTGTTTCCTGGTTCCTTGTTATTTTTAATGGCTATTTTCTTTCATGATCATAAGCTTCCATCCTGTCTTCAAGACCTGAGAGTTGATCTTTAGCTTCATTCAAGCAGTTTTTCCAGCTTTCAATTGGAATTTCCTGAATATCCCTTTGAATCTGTTTTATACATTCTAATTTTGTCTTCAAAGTTTTAATTTAATATTTAATAAAATTTTATATATTTTATATTAATTTTAATTTAATATTTAATATTTTAATATTTTCATTCAAAGTTTAAATCATTTTATGTTCCTCTGTTTTTAGCTAGATCTTATTTAGATATACACAGCAATTATTTCATAATATTTGTTGTTTATTTTTTACCCGAAATATTATTTCTAATCTGATTTCCTCTATGCTTCAGGGAGCTCTTTCTTTACTTCAGTTGCTATCATTTCAGAAAGTACAGTCGTGCTATTTCCAGCGTCTTCCATTTCAGTGTCTCCTGAGTTTGTTTTCAGGGGATTAGAGGACTGAGACTACATCTTGCTCTTTTATTTGTCAGTTTCCTTTGGGAACCATGCAGCTGGTCAGACATCCTCCTGATGGATTGCACTGGCATGCTATGCTGGGCAGTTTCAATCTTCCAATATCCCCTTTGCTAGACAGGATGTACCCTCAAACTGTGGTGCCAGAGCCTTGTGCTCTGTGACCTGTGAGGCTGGCTGGGTATTCTCTTGAATGACTATGCTAGTTGAACTGGAACACTGGTCTGGGAAGAACTTGGATCTTCTGTGAGGCTATCAGGGATGCACTCCGGAGTGTGTTGCCTAGCACCTGGTTAGGTGGAGTTCAGAACCTCCAGGACCCAAGTGGCTAGCAGGGGATACACCCCTAGAATGTGGATCCAGGTCATTGTGCCTAACTGAGAGGAGTTCAGAGTCTCTAGACCATATAGCTAGCCTGAGCACACCTCTGTTATAGAGTCCTGGGGACTTACTCTGGCTGGATGGAGTTCAGAACCACTGGGATCCACACAGCTAGCTGGGATGCATCCCTGAACTATGATACTGGGATGACATACTCTGATGGGTGGAGCTCAGATTCTCCAAGATGTATTAACTAGGCTGGTTGTTCCCAGTTAGGCAGGTCATAGGCTCTGGGCTGGGCTGGGCTTGATACCTCTTTGATCTGTGAGGCTGACTGTACAATCCCCTCATGGATTGTGCTGGGACATTGGGCAGGGCAGAGCTTGGATCCTCCAGGAAGCTAGCAAGAATGCACCCTGGAGTGTGGTCCAAGGCCTTGTGTCTAGCTGGATGAAGTTTGGAACCTCCAAGACCCAGGTGGCTAGCCAGAGTGCCCATATCAGAAAAATTTTTAGAAAATGCAAAAGCTCCTAGGAAATTAACAAGATACACTGAAACAACCAGTGACTCATAGAACATATTTAAAAATTTCTGAAAGTTAATGACAATAACTGTACAACTCAGTGAAACCTCTGGGACACTTGAAAGCATTTCTAAGAAGAAAATTCATTGCAGTCAGTGCTCACACTAGGAAAACAGAGCAAACCCAAATAAATAACTTTACAAGAAATATTAAGATATTTGAGAGACATAAGCAAGGCAGCTCCAAACCAAATTTAGACAGAGAAATTATAAAGACAAGTGGAAATCAATGAAATTGAGGGTAAAACTGCAAAAAAAGTCAATAAATCTAAGAGCTGGTTCTTTGAAAGAATAGATAGATAGATAGATAGATAGATAGATAGATAGATAGATAGATAAACTCTTAGCTAAACTTACCAGAAAAAGAGAAAAGAGATATATACTGTCACTACCCAACTTCAGGCTATTTAGTCCACTCTTTTTCTGCGCATACAACTTTTCTGTGTAATTCAGCTCACAATATGCCTGGAGGAAATTTATTTTGTTTTCCAAAAACAAAACACCCTATTACCTACTTTATGCTGGGTTATCCTTATTATTTGTCTATCCTGAATAGAGCATGTATCTCCAATCACCCAGCTCTTAATTGCCTTGCAAAATATTTTCCCTGTCTTTACCTTTCTTTCCATATAGTGGCACTATTTTTGGCTGTTTTTAGCTTTCTAAGACAAAACTTCTAGTAGTCCATAAAGTAGCTCATACGTCCAAAAATATATACATTCAAAAGTATTATCTAGAGTCTACTCTGTTGCATAAAAAGGAGAATCTATTTTCTTCTGCAGCAGAGTTTTACATGTAGTACATCCCTGTAACAAGCCTTTTTCATCAGATGTCAGAGAATCACAGGACAGGCCGACAGCAGTGAGAAGACCTCAAAGATGATTCACTTCATCCTGTGACCCACTTTAAGCAACCTTCTATGAGGTCTCTGGCAGGCAATTGGGCAACTGATCTGTTATTGCCCATGCATTCATATTGACAGTGCATAGAGAAGGATGCTATCCAGAAGGGCTTCCATGTTGCCCTATTAGACCAGAAACAGGCTCAGAGATGGGATGCAAGTATTATTCTCCTCCATTAAACATTCCACTGCAATGAGCTGGTGCTATCCATAAATTAGAAAAAAATTTCACAATTGCATGGGATTATTATAGGCTTCTAAGTTAGGTAGAAATTATGAGGTAGCCAGACAAGAACAGAACCTCAACAAAGTCAGTGCAAAAGATGAAAACACCTTAAAACTATGACTGGAGATACATCAGAAGGTAAGGATTTGAGATGAAGTCACTATGGCCAGAATTGTGTACTTCCCTAAGGGATAAATGGTATCTTGAGATTATAGTGTAATTGGTACCACTCAATCCTTTAAGCCCAGATATGCATCACCCATTCAGGTGAGTGACCAGAACACCTGAACCCATTCTTTCCCAAAGTATTCCTGTTTTGTAAGACATAGAGACATAAGCCAATGTTAAAGATATCAGCTGTACACCCTTTTAACCTGCCCTGCTTTCCTACTGGATCAGTATTAGCTAAGCGGTATACTTACAGGTTGGTAGCCTTTTCTTTTCCTTTTCTTTTCTTTTCTTTTCTTCTTTTTTGTCTTTCTTTCTTTGTTTCTAGACAAGATCTTGCTATATAGTTCAGGTTGGGTTTGAACTCACTATGCAGCCCAGGCTAACTTCAGAGTCATAGTGATCCTCCTTCCTCAGCCTTCCAAGTGCTGGCATTAATGCATGCACCATCCCACCTATAGGCTCTTTGTAGTTTGATCTACATTATACCCACATTGTAACACTGCTGTATAAATTACCCTTGACATATGCCCTTGAAGACAACCCACTCTGGATCCTTCCTGTCTCTTAGGAGCTATTTTTGGTTCCCAATAAAGCTTTCCTACTCTTCTCTTCCTTTGTCCTTTGGAATCCTTTTTTCAATTTCAGAGAATAAAAACATAGCACATCTGACATCTAGAAGTTTGGGAGTTATATTTCTCTTATAATAGTGTGACCAATACCAAGCACTCTTTCAAAGTTTCTGTGAGAAAATCCAGAGCTCCCTGGAGAGGGGCTGTTTACTCATTAAATTCTGTTTCTGTCCACCTTATTTTGTTCTGTCTACCCTAGTGACTAACAACCTGTCATTTCTGGAGCATGGTTAGATAGTATCTGTACAGTCTAAATCACCGTCACTCCATACTATTCCTTCCTAGGCTTTCTGAGAAGAATCACTTGAAGTAGTTACTGCTGGAAAATGATATTACCTCTAGAATTTGTGCAGCTGCCATCACAGAATTTGACATGGCAGTAGATGTAGTACTTCGTGAATCCAGTCATGTAGAAAATGTATAAGCCAAATAGGATGCGGAAGTAGGGCCATCCGTACATCTTCCACTTCAAGCTCACCAGCTCCTTTACCAGCTCCTTCACTGTTTTAGACTCTTGTGATCCTGCCAGTGAAAGAGGGAGCAGTTTGGGATAACACACGTGGCAAAGACTACTGAGTTTTCTAGTGGGTCTCAGAGGGGCAGAGCAGTAATCATCACTCTTCTCAATCATTCTATTAGTTATTTCTTTGACAGACAACTAGGCAATTCCTAAATGCAAGGTACTGCAGCACTACTGTGACTTTATAAAATGAGCAGTAATTAATTGAGTGAAGGAAGAGTTTGCTCATGAAGTACAGTTTGACTGAAGAAAATCAGTAGAATCGGTGGTAAGATGTGGGAATAATCTAGTGCTAATGTAAGTAGACAGCAAGAACCAAAGTAAAGAGAATGGTGGATAATAAAAGGCATCTGAGAAATTAGGGGGAGGTGCAATAATGGCTTGTTACACAAATGCTTCTTTTTGCAAGCAATTTGTTTCCTAAAAAAAAGCATTTAGCAAAAATTTGCCTCCTTTCACAAACTCTGCATAGGGTATCAAACATGGCCATGGCCATCTTCCCCACACGAATACAAATGCAGCCATCTTCCTCCAAATCATAAAATATATTAAAACCATAAACTGAGGTGCCAATAATTTTAAACAAAATTGGAAAGATTAAAAATCAACCAAAACATTTTCCATTAAAGAGAGAAGGAAGAAAGAGGCAGCAGGCTATTCTAGGTTAGGAAATTGAAGGAAAGAGACTCTTTTCCCAGAAGTTGGAAGTCTGGGTCCCTTTGATGTAAATAAAGGTAAAGATAGCAAGGAATATGAAAGGGGGGCTTAGGGAAAGTTTTAGGGAAGAGAGAAGTAAGTGACACAGACATAGATAAAATTCACAGGAGAACATTGAGAATTAGCTGACATAAAAAATAAAGGAATTGTGTTGGCAAAATCCAGATAAGGGAACTGGGCTTCTAATCCCTAAGAAAATCCATTCAAAGCTTGTATCCAGGATATTCTCTGAGGAAGTTCATACAACCGATCCTTCAACTTTACTTCTATTACTTCATTATAATGATTGCTAATGATTTATGGTTCTCTAAGTGTTCCTAGGAAATTGTCATGTGGTAGATAGATAACAGATATTATACCATTAATGTACCTTGGCAATTCCTCAAAGCTGGAGTCATTTTCTGTTACTTAATCTACATAGATTTTCTTTGCCTTCAAGGGAGGATAGAAATAATAATATACTTCCTCAATGGTTTATGGGCTGTTCCCTCTCTGGAATGCTCTCTCATTTTCTGGATCACCCTAACTCTTCCTTGGTGCCTTAAGAACCAAGGGAACCTTGGGAACCCTTTCTCTGTAACATACTTTCAGGCTCAGCCAAACCAAGGTGATCCTACCTCAATTTTGCTGTCCCTAAGAATTTCATACATCCCTATAATAGTTCAGATTTTATTTTACTGCCATTATGGAACACAGGGACAAGATAGTGAAAAAGTTAATTCATAGGAGGCATGGTTTTCCACTTTATATTCTCTGTTCCTTGTATAACATCACAGATAGAGTAGATTCTCAGTATGCAGAAGGAATAAAGGGAGGATAGAAAGAAGGGGAGGTAGAATTCAGAAAGGATAAGAAGAAGGAAGGAGGGGAGAGGAAAGGAGAAGTAATTACATCTATCTGTAAAATTCCCCATCTGAAGGACTATAATAAGAAAGATAAATGAAAGGGACTGAGATAAGCAGAAGGAGAATGGACTTTACGCTTACAGCTCCCTCAGCTTGGTCTCAGCTCTCCTAACACAAGGCTGGGAAGTTTCTGGTGGCCAAGATATCAGCCAGAAAATGGACTCTCTGTAGATTTGAAGTTTCTCACCCTGCAGTCCATGACCCACCTTGAAATTCATACCTCTTGTTTTTTTGGAGGAGATCACAAACTCAGAAGTTAGTTTTGTTATATCATAGAAATTCAATAACCCAGGTGACCTCTGGATATGCTTCGACTTCTGCACCAGGTGTTGGAACATCTGAGACAACAAAAGGAGAATTGGAAGTCACAGTGTGAGAAGCTAGTTGAGAACTGTACTGTCCACAAGCTGTGAACTCAGTCTTTGAAACCAATAGACAGGAGACTTCCTGAGAACATGGCGGACAGACAGCAGCAGCTACTGAAGGCTCTCTAAAGGCTCGGCTCAGAGGCCAGGAATGATGCGGACTAAGGAGATACGAACCAGTAGAGATATGCTCTGCTGACTTAGGAACGAACTGGGCTGAGAGAATCTAACTTAGAATACAGTCCTGGCGCTAAAATAGGAACAGAAAAATCTCGGTGTGGAGGCTCGACCCCGCGCCATTGGAAACCGCGGTTTGGATTTCCCGCCGCCCAGCGGCTGGCTGCCTCCACAGCGGCTCAGCAAGGAGAGACGCGCCGAGCTCTGGGAACGGGAGTGTGCGAACGGAGTCGGAAACAGGACGGACAAGGAGGAAAACTGACTGGTGGCGAGGTGAGCAAGAAACTGATCCCCTACCACAGTTTGACTCCAGCGGAGGTTTTTCTGGGCTCGGGCAGTCCTGTAAGAGCAGGGCGCAGTGACAACTCCAGCCGCACATTCCCCTCTCGGACAGGATTGGTGAAAGGTGCCTGGCCTGAGTGACGCTGCTGGCGGACTCCCTAGGCTGGCCTAACCCAGATCCCAGAGCCTGACGGTGGCCCGGAGGAGCGACCGACTCCCGCGTAGGTTGCCTCCTCCACAACTCCCTGGGGCGCAGCTGTGGGCGGGAACAACTAGCCAGCGCAATTTGATCAGGCTGTGGCTGACAGGCAGGGAAGCCGGGCCTCCTATGTAAGATTGCATTTTATAAGGAACAGAAAATATGGGGAAGGGAAGCAACAAAAAAGGCTCCTCGGCCCCCAATCCTGAGAAACAGGCAATAGTGGACACCGCACCAATATACATTAAGTGCCATCTAGAGAGCCTCATAGACCAATTCAGGAATGAAGTTATCAATGACCTGAAGCTAGAAGTATGCAGAATAGTTAGAGAAATGCTAAGCACCACCCAGGAAAAAGCAGATGGTGGAATGGAAGAACAGAAAAAGAGGGGAGAATTGCTTGATGGAGAAAACAGAGAAAGCATTGAGTATGTGAAGCAGGTTCAAAGAGACTATCAAGAAATTAAGAAGTCTATCCAAGACTGGCATAACAGCTTGAAAGAAACTAAGGACAGACTATCTGAATTGGAGGGCAGACTTGAAACATGGGAGAATGAAATGAAAAACTTCTTAAAAATAACAAAGAAACACACAGCAATAATACAAAGACAAGAAGATGATAAGAGGATCCATAACTTAAGGATTAAGAACATAAAAGAAGAAGTAGGGACACAAACAAGTGAACTACAAAAGCTACTCACAGAAATAATCCAGGAGAATTTTCCTAATTTAGCAAAAGGTAAAGATACTCAGATGTATGAGGCATACAGGACCCCAGCTACCTACAACCCTAACAGAGAAACACCCAGGCATATAATAATAAAAATTCCAGAAATTCAATACAAGAACAGAATATTAAAAGCTGTAAGAGACAAGAAACAGATCACTTACAAGGGAATACCCATCAGAATTACAGCAGATTTCTCTGTACAAACCATCAAATCACGAAGAGCATGGGGAGAAATAATTCAAGCTTTGAAAGATAATAATCTCCAGCCAAGATTGAGATATCCTGCACAACTGTCCCTGGAAATTGATGGAAAAACGAGGTGCTTCCAGGATAAAGAGGAACTGGGGGAATTTGCAACCACCAATTCAACCCTACAGAAAGTATTGCAGGATATTCTAAAAAAAGAAAAATACAAAGAACCCAGAAATAGTGGCGGGGAGGCCACAATGAATGGAGCAGAGAACAAAATGAAGAAGACAAACTGACAGCTACTGACAGAAAAAGAGCTCAACAGAAATGAGACAGAGAAGATTGGATGATAGGAACAGCTTTTTTTGGAGAAAATGACATCTTAATAGGTAATGCTGATTTAGTACCATCTTGTTTTGAAGTCTCATCTAGCTTTTGTTCTTCTGTCTCCAATGGTCTAAACAGGTTGTATCTTATTGGATTTTGTTATGTACGATAGTATAAGCAAAAACCTTTTAAGGACAAGGAGATTATACAGAGACCATTGTTCATTTTCTGTTAGTCGATTCTAAATACTCTATAATGCTGTCATTCTCTTAAATGTTTTTACATTGTTTTGATATACTTAATACTACAGTATATGAAGTTGTACTCAAGGACTTCAGGGAGGGAGTCAATATGGTAACTATTTTTGGGTCAGGATTATCTGGTGGTGAAACACTATTCTGCTTAAATGGTTATGTTTTGATCTGCCCTGTTTCGCTGTTATGCCCTCTTTTTTCTCAATCTCCACTCCATTATTTACATTTTTATTTTTATCCATTTAATTAAAGGGAAAAATATAGCAGGATATAATATAGTAACCCACTTTGACTTTCTATTATCTCGATTTGAAGCCCTGTATTACTCTCACCATCTTGTTTTTGACTGAGGTTCCTCTATTCTGTTTTGCTGGATAGTATCAGGTTCGAAAGTTTAGGCATCAGCTGAGAAGATAATGAGATTCATTATAACGCCCATTCTCGTTGACTTTTATCTACTTTTGAAGACCTACAATATCTCCAATGTTTTGGTTTTGTTGGTTTTATTCTTTACGGTTTTGTTCAATTGTATAACAACTAATGATATAGGCAATTCTATTAGAAATAGCGGGAGGCATTATGGTAACCATTGTTGATCACCTTGTATTATGTTTTTATATTATCTATTATGTCCACCCTTTTGACTTGACCAATTCTGTTCTGTTATGTCACATTTGGTTTTACTCTCTTCCAAAAAAGCAATAAGAACCGTGGGAGCAATGAAACCCAAAATGTGTAATAGTCATTGTACAAAAGAGAGGAAAAGAAAGTGCTCTAAACTATATAACTGCATGTATATTTAAGTGTATAAGATGGAAAATGGTATCACAGAGTTTTATTGGATCATTGAACAGAACTGTTTGCAGTATCATTGTTGGAATGTCCACTCTACAAGCTTTAATTTTGTGACTTGAACAATTATTTCTAAGATGGCAATATGTAATCCATTAACTAGTGATTGCCTACTGCGCATTTTTTTCTCCTGTAAATCTGTATAACTTGTACCCCTTCACTGTTTTTTTTTCTTTCTTTTCTTTTCTCCTTAAATAAAAAAAAAACCAATAGACAGTGGGGAATTGGAAATCTTCTACTTATAAGAATTTTGTTTTTTTGAAGACATCTTTCTTTCCCCCAAACTCCATAAACACTAAAGTATAAGACCAAGGAAAAAAACCCAAGACATTGGGTTCCCATAGCAGGTAAAGTCTTAGGGATCCTGAAAATAAAGGAATCTGACGGTAAAGCTTTTGGTGATGAAGTGGAAAGTCAGGGCCACCTCCCTCTTGAAGAATATGGAGACTCACGAGGGGTGGGGGAACCCATACCACTGTGATGCCCTCCATTTCGGCCATCTTGAAGGGGGTAAAGCTCTGGTGGTTGGGCACAAGTTCCAGGCACTGAAAGTGGTCCCCTACATCATAGGACAGCAGCAGGTCATACATCTGGCAGGCGAAGGTTTTGTTGGGCTGCAGGATGAAGATGTGCAGTACTATGTTCCCTGAGGAGGGCAGATTCTCATGTGGTCACAGGCCTAACATTCCTGATGGCTCCATCCCCACCCTGGGATGGCCTGTGCCCCCTCCTCCCTAAAACTCCCATACCATCCCAGTACTGACAACCATCCATTTCCTACTTCAGTGAGTCCTGGGCCCAGATATCAGTTCCATGCTCCATGAACAGCCTCAAAGATGAAAGGACAGTGCAGAGGTTGTTGTGAGACATGGTCACTGACCTTCAGTCCTACAAGGATTTCTCTATCTCATGACAGTCTACCTTACCCCATCCCCAGGGTCACCATTCTGCTCTCTGCCTCCTCCTCCTTCTTCCAGACCTTACCCTGATGCTCACCATAGTGGATCAGATTATGGGGGCTGTGTTGGAAGGCAAGGCCTATAGCCCTGGCAGAGATACTGGCCCCATGGGAGAGCCAGGTGTGCACCAGGTTCATGTTCTGGTTCATGACAGCAATGTATAGGGCTCTCTGACCTGGACATTGTCAAAAGTCACAATTTTGGTCCAGCAGAAGTCTCTTAAATTTACACAGATCATTTTCCTTGGCTGCCTAAAACAATGGAGACTCTAATATCCTGGGGAGAGGGTGAGCAGGAGTCAGGTAGAGACTATCACTGAGCATCTAAGAGCAGAGGGGATCAGAAGTGACACACTAAGAGAGACAAGACTATCACAAATTGGATAGAAAGAAACTGGCTTTAGAAGAAACAAAGTTGCCTTTCCCACGAGCTGGTACAAGCCAGGTGGGGCCAGGGAGAAGAAACAAGCCAATTCCCTCTTCCGGTGAGTTGGTGAAATACATGCTAGGACTGGGAGGAGAAACAAGAAGCCAGTTTGCCTTTCCCATGAGTTGATAGAAGTTATGCAGGAACAGAGAGGAGAAAGAAGCCAATTTTTCCTTCCTGTGAGTTGGTGGAAGACATGTGTGACCTGGGAGAAGACAAGGAACAAATTCTCCCTTCCCATGAGCTGACCAGCATGCAGGCTGGGAGTTTAGAAGCCCTCCTACCCTAAGCAGCCAATTGATTTGGAGGACAGGATGAGTTGATAGCAACTGTGGTACAAAAATAACTTAATGCTTGGATTGTTTGATTGACTTTTCAGGCTTATGTTTGGTAGTCTGAGCATCTATTAAGATAATAACAATATGCAGTATTGCAAATATGGGTGATTTCCTTCTGTCTTGTTTTTGAAATCCAGTATCGTTCTCACTTTTTTATTTTATTCTGTTTCATTATTTTGTTTTATTCAGTGTTCTGCTTTGATTGGTTTTGTTTGAATTTATTATGTCTGGTGGTATGGGCAGCAATTTTGAAGATAACAAGAGGCATTTTGGTAGCCATTGTTAATTTCCTATTATCCAGTTTTAAAAATCCTGTATCACTTTTACTGCTTTGTTTTGATTGGCTTTATTCTGTTTGGTTTGGTTTGGTTTTATTCTTTTTAAAATTAAAAAAAAAGAAAGAAAAACTGGCCTTGTCACTCTTTAGTGTCAAGGTTCTGGGGAGACTTCAGTATGGACAGGTCGCACAGATTGCCTCAACTTCCCTGTAGTTTTTATCATTCTTCCCATGCAGGACCAGACTGGTGGTCTGGTGACTGATGGGAAAAGGGTGCAATTGAAGACTTCTTTCTTGATTGAAGAATATCCAGGTCTGGACAAGTAGTGAGGAGGTCCTTGCAAAGAAGTGCTTATCCTGTACAACTTTTCCTGAGTTCAGTGTTTCAGCATCATCATATAGACAAGCAGGGGTAAGGGAGGAGCATTTCTATATGTCTTCAAGTTCCCAGGCTTGGGGACATAAACCTATTCTGTATAGCCCACAGGACCCCAGTAGTTTCCTCTTTGCCTTGGGCTCTACTGATATTCTGACAGAACTGGAGATAAAGCAAGAACCTGGCCTGCTAGATGAGACATCGGTGGCCCCAAAGCTAACATAGTGTCTTGCAGCTTGAAGTTCATAGAGACTGCAGAACAGACAGACTGATGAGTGGAACCTCTGATATCCTCTGTTTCCAAATTTGCCCTTTCCAATGGCTTCAGTGCCAGTGAGACATTTTCTAGTCTAGGAAGTAGATTTGTATCTCTGTAATGGCCACAGAAAAGCTGCTGAGTATGGATCTCACCCTGCTCCAGCTGTTATGCCCTTAGACCCACTGAAGCCTACCTCCCTGACCAGTTCAGAGTAGGCAGCATTAGATTCCAGAGTTCACTTCTGTTCTGAGGCCACTAGATAAAACCTTTCTGTCCTTGCCTTCACTGGTCTTCTGTCAGACTCCACCCTGGTCCCACTGTAAAGCAAGTAGGAAGGTCAAAGTCACATTGCAGGCCAAGATGGAGGCTGCTTAACAAGCAGGACATCTACCAGGAGGAAGGCTCTGTGCAAAATATGAGTGCCAGGACCCTGATCCACCTTATTCAGAACTTCAAGTTGGAGGAAAGCAGGACCCTGAGCCTCTTATACAACGCTCTGAGGCACAGGTGCTCATGTCAGATGTGGCTGTCTCTTTCTTCCAGCCCAGTCAGCTCTGGTAGGAGGCAGGTCCTGAGCTCCCACCATGGAGGTGAATCTTTCACACACTGCTTTCCCTGGGTTTAGAGCTCAGGCCTGAGCCACAGCAAGACCAGCACTAGGTAGAGCAGCCACACTAGAACACAAGCCCCAGTAGCAGCTCATCCTCATTCTCTCTTCCTGTACTCAGCAGCTACAACACATGGAAAACTGTGCTGTGGTCTCAGCTACTCTAGAGGCTGAGGCAGGAGGGTCATATCCTGGGAACTGCTGAAGATCTCTCAAAGTATAACAGAGACTTGGAGATGCAGCTCAGGATTAGAGATGCTGAAAATACTTAAAAAGAAAAAAGCAACATTAAACCCAGGACTCACCCATATCTTTCAGGTTGTCCCCCACTACTGGTCATCTCCAGGTGTTATACAAACAAATTTCCCCTCCTCCTTCACCAGGAAATCAGCTTTCATTCACACTGATGATAGGTAACTTTTTTCTAGTCTTCCACCACATCCCCTAAGGAAAAGACCCTTCAAATGCCAGCAGATCTTTTCCCTTTCCAGTAATTTGCTCTCCAGCAAGCTGATCTTTCCTCCCTCCTCACCATACCCAGCTGGTTTCTTCTTTCTTGTCTCACTGAGCCCCCTTCTTATGTTCTTCCAGGAGATAGGCAGTTTCCAGACTGGGCTGTCATGCTGACCCTTGTCTTTTCATGGAGTACACAAAATCTCCCTTTGTGGGCCAATGCTACCAACACTAAGAGGTGCCAACTGGGGCATTGCATGAGATAGGCAGGAAAGACAGGAGGAGATTCATCCAGGAGCCTGGCTTTATGGGCCAGGGTTCTATATCAGGAAACCGGTCTGTGGATCAAAGGTTTTGATTCACACTTGGACTTGACCTCAGAAGCCTATTTCTTATTCTGATTTACATAGGACACATTTAGATCATGGTCCTAGACTTGATTTTGGATCACTCCGGATCTGAGAAATTTATGGAAGTGTATCCAAAGTCCTTCAGTCCCTATGTTTCCTTGTACAAACTTTCAGATGACTGGAAGTCAGGCAAAGGAGCAGGTGGATGAGGCAGTAATTGAGAGGAGGCAAGATCTGCTGGTCAATACCAAGGAAGAGTGTTATATTTCATGTCGGGTATGCATGTGGGATAGGTTGTGCAATGTGAGTATGAACATGTGCTGAGGGACTGGCTACCTTGATCTAACAGATACACCTGGAGAGGGAGGTGCTCTGTATAGAGCACAGCTTGGGAGCACAGGATTTCAGGTGCAGGGAGTGGGGTAGGGAGGGGACTATTGGTTTTCTGGAGTGGGCTGGGAGTGTGTGGCTGATTGGGAAAGGCTGAAGGTGGGAAGAGGAATTTGGAGAGGGAGCATGGACAAAGTTGTGTCTCTCATGCAAGAAGTACAGGAGAATAGGAAGTGCAGACCTCCTGCTCAGGGACCAGGCCCATCCTGGTTTAAATCTTGGCTGTTTCCCCTTACAAAATCAGGTGAGAACTCTGAAGCTCAGTTTCCAACCTCTAAAGTAGGGGTATTTGGCTGTGATATAACCGAGGAGAGAAAGTCGGAAGTTTTATGGGGAAAAAAGGAGAACAAAAAAAAAATGACATTGGACAGGGGTAAAGTCTGGGACACAATGGGGGCAGGAGCCTGCGGGGCTCTGGGAGCAGGGGCCAGCAATGCTGTGAATGGACAGTTTCATGAGTTCCTTGGCCTCCCAGCTCTGCAGGGCAGCACTCCTGCTGCTGCTGCTGAGGGTGGAAATGGTGAAGTCTCAGCAGGGTAACTCAGGCCCAGGGGACAGGAGCCTAGAAGAGAAGATACTCCCTGCGGGTAGGTGGGGAGGTGGATGTGAGTCTGGAAGAAAGGGCTGCACCAGTCTGCGGTCAGGCTCTAGGCAGCTGATTATGGGAGGGTGGTTCTCAGTGGATTTGGGCTTTGACAGACCATGTCAGGTTCCTGTTATCAGGGAGTGACATGATGGTGTGGCAAAGAATGTGGCATTTGGGCCAAATACCAGCCCACTTTCATTTAGTTCAATGTGCTAGAATTGTTAAATTCTAAACAAAATCCTAGGCTGAATCATTAAAGGAATGTTTTTTTTGAACACTTGGAAAATAATGTGTGAATAATGGCTGAAGTGGGATTACTGATGCCACAATGATGCCAAAATAATAAAAATATGTCTGATTAAAATGCTTATCAAATTGAGATGTAGGACAGGGTGAGACCCACACCTTCACATTACGATGATGTGAGAAAAAAACTGAAAACAATGTCCAACACCAGAAGCCCACAGCCTTTTGGAGCCACAGCCACTTGCAGAGCCTACCCAGAAGACCTTAGCTATTCCACTTAGATACAGCTCGTGCTGTTGCTGGAGGAGCCTGCCCAGTGTGATGGATCTCTGCAGGCAGGTACACACAGACACACTCACAGCCTGCAAAATCTGATATCAGTGTATCACTTTCCAATTTTAGGCTGTTGGCAATTGATTCAAAGTTTGAAAAGTACTGTGCAAGGGAATAAAAGATCTATCATCATCACCCTTGAGGGCTGCCAATGCTTTCCCGAGCATGGTATCCAGCATTAACCATCACTGACATGTTCCCTTATGCTACTGTGATCAGCTTATACCACTGGTGAAAAGGCGAATAACACCTGTTCTGTCTTTCCCTCAGATTGAAGCATCAGTGAAATAATATCTTAAAATACTGCATCCGGAATTCCACTAGTGTTACTGTGCATACAATAATGTCAGTTTCTTGGCATTATCTGCGTTTCATGGCAGCATCTGGTACAAGCCTATATTAAGTGTTGGGGCGCCAGATGGAGAAATCAGATTGAAGGACAGAGCAGTCAGTAAGTGGACTCTGGCTGAACTACAGTAGTCATCAGCGATGAATGACACAGCATTCA